TATTTAAAATGAAATTTTGGAAATCTTTTAGAACCAAAACAATTCACTTATGTAACAGTAATTGTGAATTAGGGGATCAGCAATGTAACAGCTCATCTGGAATAAATATCAACAGGTATGTGGGTTCATAGGATTGGCAACTCCCTGGTTAACATTAATTAATCAAGGTTTTGTTTTGGCCACTCTGGTGCAGACCAACAGAATGATAGTGTGCCGACTGTAGTGTACAACCGACAAATCAATGAGGAAGTTAGATACTATGGTCTAGGTCAATGTTGCTACAGAACTCTACTTCTGGATGGCTATGGCAGCCTGACTGCATGGTGCTACAGTATATTGATCCAGTCCTGGGACCTCACTGCTGCTGTTCTTGTGGGCTTATTCTGATGGGACAACATTCCAACAGGACACGTTGCTTGTGTGGTAATAGATGAGGATGCAGCAGTTATACCATGGATACTCTGCTCACCAGGTGTCAGCCCCACTGGATGCTTGTGGGATGAGCTAGGATGTCCTGTGACATCTGGTCTGGTCTCAGAGAGAGAGAATTGAATGGAGAGAGCAAGCAGGCTCATGTCTGTCCAGGTCCCATGAGAGCAACAGGACAAAATCCCACAACACCACATTTATTAAGTTGTACAAAGTATTAACCAGTAACTGTGTTTTCCAGGAGGGATCACACATGGCCCCAGGCTCTGGCTTTAATAGTAGATCTCCTTCTAATTGCCTTGTTGATGACACGTATTGACCACCATCGTAAATTTACCCAGATGTTCTTTTCATTATATTCATGTTAAATTTGTAAATGTGTTGCAGTTATAGGTGTTACGATGCCTTTAATGTGAGAATATTGATACTAATTTTGAATTATATAAAGTAAATTAATATGAAGAATTGGAGCGTTGTTCTCAACCCATAATGCAACCTGGTTTTGTTGCGTAACTTGCCGATCTTTGACCTCCTGGCAATCCCATCATCCTCCTTTGGCGCATGCGCGTAGTATTAAAAAGTAGGTTGCGTTTATTTCTTCGCAAGCCACGAAGAGTCATCGCTGCTGTATCTTCTAGTTTGTATTTTGTTTAACGGCAGTCTTAACTTTTATATCATCCCGTAATTACTTTCTGCGTTTTTCCGTTGGGTAAGTTCTTTTCGATATCTCGCTTTCTCCAATAAGATATAAAGACGCGTGAAATAGCGTGTATTTTGTGTAGCCCAAGAGTGTTTTCATTAAGCTCCAGTATGCTTAAATAAACCATTATGATAGATCTACTTTGGTTATGCTGCCATTTAAGAACAAATTGGTGATCTGGCTGAATTATCCAGAGTTGTCACAGTTTTGTGAAATACTGTCTGCGTAGGTCTGGTTAGGCCCGGCCGAAGGAGGCTTCTTGTACCAGTACCTGTGAAGGGGGGGAGAGGTTTCTCACAGGCCACCAGTTTAATGCGAGGAAAGCATTTTTTTTAAACCCAGCATTATCTGCTTTCGTTTGCTATGAAGGGTCCCTCAACGCCGTATCCGCGAAAGTATTGTACCACGAGTGTTGCTGCTGAAGTACATTACTTCACTGCGCAGATAAAGACGAGCTAAAGTTTGGGAGTCTCACCCTTTGAAGCTATTTAAATACAGTATAGCCAATCCCTTGAGCACGTTTTGTTGTTTATTCTTTACTATAATGCTTCTGGAGTAGCGGACAAGTAGGAGAGCTGACATGGCAGCTGAACCATGTGATTCTAAAACATTTCGGGAAAAGTAAAAAAAAAAAACACAATTTAATGCAACATGTACTGCCACGTCTTTCTGATGAAACGCCAACGATGCGCGTTCTCTGTTGGCTGTATGCTCAGGTGTGTTGGGTTAGTCTCTAGTTAGATCTGGGAGAACAGCGCGGGGGCAGTTTTATTTCCCCTGGGCGAGGAACACGATTTGTGCAGGCTGGTCTGTTCCATGTTGTGTGAGCCGTAGCCCTGTCCCGAGTCGGCCTGTGCTCGGGACGTGCTGTCATGGGGGAGACTCGCGGCTGTGGACCCTGGGAGTGCGATTCTGGTGTCAGTGTGACCTCTTCCCTTTGCAGAGTCAAGATGCAGCTGTTCGTGCGCACTCAGAACACCCACACTCTTGAGGTGACTGGGCAGGAGACTGTCCGAGACATCAAGGTGAGGTCGACATCTTCTCTTGGAAACTGTGTAATGGTTTTCCTCCGCAGCAGATTGGCTGCAGCCACTTTAATCTGACTTCATGAATGAGGGGAACTGAATTGGTATCCGAACAGCTTGGCTACCAGGTTCACTTTCAGTAGCTTGTGGGGGGTTATATTTATATAAGGCTATCCGTGTTGAGCTGCCTTCGCATTTCAACAACATCAGGTTAGAGTTCCCATCAAAACCCCTCTGCTGAGGGCACGTGGCTAAGGATTTGTGCCTGTGACTGGAAGGTTGCCGGTTCAAATCCCGCGGCCGGCGGAGGAATCCTACTCTGTTGGGCCCCTGAGCAAGGCCCTTCACCCCAGCTGCTCCAGGGGTGCCATACAATGGCAGACCCTGCGCTCTGACCCCAAGCTTCTCCCTGTCTGTGTGTCTGTGTCTCCATGGAGAAAAGCTGGGGTATGCGAAAAGACGGAATTCCTAATGCAAGAAATTGTATAGGGTTAATAAAGAAACATTATCATTATACATTATAACCTGCTCCCGGAGACTGGCGTTGAGTGGTGTGGGTGTGTGTCCTGCAGGCCCGGGTCCAGGCCCTGGAGGGGCTGTGCGTGGAGGAGCAGGTGCTGCTGCTGGCCGGCGCGCCCCTGGAGGATGAGGCCGTGCTGGAGCAGTGTGGGCTCACGGAACACTGCACCTTGGAAGTGGCAGCCAGGATGCTCGGAGGTATGGAGTCTGTGTCGGCGAAGCGGCAGGCCGGCAGGAGGATGTTTGCCACGCGTTTTAAATGCGTGCGGTGGCTGGGGGTGGGGAAATAAACTGGAGTTACACTTGCAGTGGGTTTTTTCATTCCCTTGCGTAACAGCGTGCTGTAGTGTAATTTTAGAGCAGGGGAGTGTAATCTCGTGGATTTTGGCTCTTGGTTAAACTGCATCTGCCCTTTGTGCGGGCTGAATTGACGTTGCTCCCTGGACGGCTGGTAAGAAGAGGTCCGTTCTTCTGATCTGCCTGCTTTAGGAACGCTCTTTCTCCTTCCTTCTCCTCAGGTAAGGTCCATGGTTCCTTGGCTCGAGCTGGCAAGGTGCGAGGACAGACGCCAAAGGTCAGTAGAGAGAAAATCACAAGCTGTATTTACAGTATCTCCTCTGTTATACTAGGGTCTTAACCTTTCAAACAGCCTGTCAGTTTTTCAAGCCCAAAGGTTACTTGAATGTCTTGTGGATTTTGAATATTTTTGGTCCGTTTACATCTTGCACAACAGCCTGCTTTGAAGTCCCGATGTTTATTAATTGATGCAAGTTAGGCAGTGACCTGTGAAAATAAGATTATTTTTTTTTTACCGTTTTGGAAAAATTGGATCTCTGGCAAGCACTAGTAACCAAAACAATCACTTTAAGAAATGCAGCTATATTATTGTAACATGCAAAAACTGTTAAGGTGAGTATCCTACTTCATGATCAATATATCCTATGTTTATCCTTTCATATTATACAGTAAACTGGCTAATGCGAGTTAAACCTATTAAACTGGTCCGATAAAGTCTCGTAATACACTACTTTAGCTTGGAATGCATGATGTTCCAGATGTGCCCACAGGTAAAAATCGCATGGACTTGCATGTGACCATGCCAGGCCTTTGTCATGCGTGAGTGAGACCCTGTTTGAAAGGGGACTCGTCAAACGTTCTGGCACATGGCCAAAACCAGTTCCACAACGTATGCATATTTTTCTTAAATTGTCACTATATGAAACCATCTTGAATAACCTCTTTGGAATATAAAACTTCCTGAAAAATTGTAGATTTTTTTTTTATTTGTGTAAGAAGTTCAAAATGACAAGCTGGTCAGTATTATGACTTAAGTGTTTTAAAGTCTAGGCTCCAGCCTTTCCAACTTTCCAACGCTAATGGTACTTCCAGCACCTGTAGCCCAGGATGCTGACGGTGGTCCTAAACGATGGATTGAATTGCTTCTCGTGTTCTTCTCAGGTGGACAAGCAGGAAAAGAAGAAGAAGAAGACAGGCCGGGCCAAGCGGCGTATCCAGTACAACCGCCGCTTCGTGAACGTGGTGCCCACATTCGGCAAGAAGAAGGGGCCCAATGCCAACTCTTAAACCCCCAGCACTACTAGAGCAGCAACACCGGTGTGCTGGTTTCCAGTGGCTTTCTTGGTCAGACTCTGGACTTGTTGATTCAACTCTTGTACTGCTTACAGATTCTGCACAAAGACCCATCTGCTAAAAAAACACGGATAAAGAGAAATTATTTACTGTAGTTCAGTGCTGAATTAAAATTCCTTTTTAATTTCACTCTAAATTAAGAGTATGAACTTGAATATGGTGTCAGTCACTGCTCTTGGTAGATCATGAGGTGTTCTTTTCTTAAATAAAGTGCATGATATAATATATTCTAGATGAGTCTTAAGGTGAACTTTCTTCCTGTTCTGCAGTGTGATGGGGACCATTTTTATATGCAATAGGAAAGATTTACTTCCTTTTGGTGTTAATTTTAAATAGGGGTAATCCTCTTGTTTCATAGCCTACATTCTGATTTGAATAAAATGTGTAATGAAGTCAGTTTTCTAAACCATTATGGCTTGTGATAAGTGCAGTCTTGCATTGTTTATTTTTGAGGATTCAAAAGGGACAGTAATTATAAGATATGGGCGAAGGAGTACTTTTATTTTGCAATCCATGCATATGTGGCAGCAAGTGTCCTGATGCCTATGAATGTGGCCCATGGTTCTGTTAACATCCCTATTGTGTGGTGAAGAATTGGATGTTATGCAACTACCAGCTCATCGCAAAGGAAGAAATTTAAGACCATAGCAATGTTATCTGCACCAATAATCCATCATAAAGTGCTTATCATGCAATTTATAAAGTCTCTTTTAAGTGAGCATTGGGGTGGGGGGGCAGAATAGTTCACAAAACTGCTGAAGTGAACCAGTGATGAGAATTCACAACCCCAGTGATTTACGAAGCCGAGACGACTGCAGAAACAAGGTAAAAATCAAACAAGGGCTCAGTAAGCTTAATGGCTCAGTAGGCATGAAATCCAAATGGCACTGACAAATTCCAGACTGGACAGACAGCTGATGCACGTACCAGGGAGACAGATAAGGTGTTGCAAGCATTAAGAAGGTGAAAGTCATTTCAATACCTCCAATTATGCATTTGAAGATATGAGGGAAAAAATATCAACAGTGCTTTAATCTATCAAGTGTAGAACTGAAATCACATTTAATACATTAATTAGACTTCAGTTGTAATACGGTGTTCAATTTTGATTTTAAAAGATGGTGTAGCTCTAGAGGAACTACAAAAGAGCAAATACATTAGTTCCTCGCATGAAGGTAATGATACAGCATATGGACAGATGCATTTCTGCCTGGACCTGGACAGAGACTATTACACAGGAACCTTGTTCTGGTATTCAGAAACTGAAATCAACAAAGGGACGCAAGTGAAAATTAAGGTCAGAACCATTTATATCTACAATACAGGAGAAGCTTCCTTTACATAGACGATTGCAGAAATCTGGAACCAGCTCCCAAGTGAGTTTTGAAGCTGACAATTCATTTCTCGGCTCACAACTTGATGAGTAGGCAATGAAGGCAGGCTCTTGTCTCCAAAATTATTTTTATTTTTTGTCTGACCAAGCAAAACAGAAAAAAAAGAAATATGCAGGCATTTCACAACTTCCATCTCCCAGTTTTGAAGTCCAAAATACTGTAGCTGAAAATGTATTTACAATGTGTTTCATCACTGTGAACAGATTTTTTTCACAAGAAGGGCTGTATAACCTAGTCTATTGAAACCAGCTCCACTTCAAAAATGAGCTTGGCATTTGGTGGAATTCTGATGGTTGACAGATTAAGGAATTTAAGCTTTGACCAAACCGTCAGCCATGCAGTCCTACTACTTGTAAAGATGTTCAATATTGTTTAAGCTGAATGTTTAAAACATAATTCAACATTACACACCAGTAAGACACTTGGTGTCAAATTTACAATAAGTGATACATTTCTCCTTTTTACTCAATACAATACCTACACTCCCTCTGTAATACCCGATATTGTGCACCCTGCCCTTGTGAGGCACTGAAACACTTTGGAGCAAGGACTGCAGCTGCAGTCAGCTCTGCTTCTATGAGAATTAAGGCACTAACAGCACTGGATTGTCTTTTCTATACTTTCAAAAGCAAGCCAAGATTGGAATGACCTGTATGAACATAAGCATTTGTATGCTTATGTATGAACATGGAATTAAGTCACTTTGGCCTTCAGTTCGGATGGCAGCCATTTCTGTAGCCAGCCAATAATAATAATTTCTTACATTTATACAGCGCTTTTCTGGACACTCCACTCCAAGCTGTTTACAGGTAATGGGGATCCTCTCCACCACCAGTGTGCAGCCCCACCTGGATGATGCGACAGCAGCCATAGTGCATCAGTACTCTCCCCACACACCAGCTCTTAGTGTGGAGCAGAAGAGAGTGATGAAGCCAGTTCAGAGATAGTGAGTATTAGGAGGCTGTGATTGGTTAGGGCCAATGGGAAATTTGGCCAGGACGCTGGGGTTACAGCCCTACTCTTTTCAAGAAACACCCTGTGATTTTTTACCACAGAGAATCAGGACCTCGGGTTTTATGTTTCATCCGAAAAACGGTGCCTTTTTACAATATAGTGTCCCCGTCACTATACTGGGGCATTAGGACCCACCCAGACCACAAGGTGAGCGCCCCCTGCTGGCCCCACTAACACCTCTTCCAGCAGCAACCTTAGTTTTTCTCAGGAGGTCTCCCATCCAGCTACTGACCAGGCTCAAACCTGCTCAGCTTCAGTGGGTTGCCAGGAGTGAGCTGCAGGGTGATAAAGCTCAGGCATTGCTCTCAAGGCCAGCAAAGAAGGATACTTGGCGTCAGGCTGCCCTTTCTTGCCATACGCCCACTCTGGCTCGATCTCCAGCCGTGCCTTCTCGCCCATGCTCATCGTCAGGAGGGCCTCATCCCACTGCAAGAAGAGAACAGCACAGGTTACCGCAACGGGGCTTCACCCTCACAAGAGCAGCTGGCGGGCTCGGGGAACGGACTTGAAAATGAACACGAAGGCTGAAGGGAACGATAACAGCTCTGCATGGTCAGTCTCCATCTCCCAGTCTCAAAACTGCTCAGTTGGACAGGCTGCTCTATTATTATTATTAATTATTATTATTATTATTATTATTATTATTATTATTACAAAACCCCTCCCCCCATAATCTAGGTGAAGGCATATGGTTTTACAGCAGTGGTTTAGTCAGCCTCCCCTGAATTAAAAGCATGCTTGCAGGTGCAGTACCAGTGTCTTACCCCTCTGATGACCTTCCCCATTCCAACCTTAAAGCTCAGTGGCTTGCTTGCTTTTTTCTTCTTGGCAGCTATATCAGAGAAAATCAGTCCTTAGGAATACAGAGTACAACCAACACAACGCTATTCCCGCACACCGTGTTTAGACTGTTACACAGAAGAAAATAAAGCCGAAAACAACACGACAGCATCTATAAAGGCACGTGTCCATTCTGAAACATTCATCTGCAGTCTGCTGGATACAAACTTGGGACATAGAGGGCTAGTATCTAACCACAGCCCAGAGAAACACATATTACACATGAAGTGCCCTGGAGTGCCAATGTGTTTTAATAATGAAGCATCTCAATTTGTGGAATTTAAGCAGGCCAGGATAACACGGCAGTACCTGCAGCTCGTCACATTTAGCTAATGTCCTACCCCCGGATTGGACTTCCAGCCAGCCCCTGGTTATGGCAGCACTTACATGTCGCAACGTTGGAGTCAAAGACGGTACCATCCTCCAGTGTTCCTGTGTACCAGCAGCTCACCGTGTCGCCCTTCTTGGGGAAGTTAACTTTATCTCCCTTCTTCAGCACAGACTTCACATATTTAGGAGGGCCCTTAAGACAAATCACAATAACGTCATGATAGCCAGTCACAGTAACAAGTACACGGCCTGACCGACTTCCTTGTTTCCACAGCATGTGGAGAAAATGAAGGCAGTTCTAATCCCCAGAGGGACTTGCACTCTGAGCTGAAGACCAACACCAGAGTGGGGAATTGGGTCTCCAATGCAAGGCTAACCCGCACTGCAAAGGCTTGGGTCTCCAATGCAGGGCTAACTTGCACTGCAAAGGCTTGGGTCCTGAGCCCCTGAGGACGTCTCACCTCTTCCACTGGCTCTTCCGGCTTGGTGTCCTTGGGCTTGTCTTCAATCTTCACTTCTTTCGCCTGCGCGGTCACCTCCTCCACGGGGTCAGTGCCCTTGAACCTCTGCGCTCACGAGAAACAACAACAGGACAGAGAGGACAACAGTGACAGCCTGAAGAACATCCCATCCATGGCTGAATTATCTGCAACGGGCTTTTGATGGTTATTTGAGAGCCAATGTGTCAGGCCAGTACAGATCGGCTGTATTCTAAATGGATGCCATTCTCCAGCTGTCAATTGGAAACACTGCTATCCTTCAGTAAGTGTTAATCACTGCTCCTCTGCTCACAGTCAGCTCCACACCTACCTTACTCTCGAAGAGCTGGTTGTAGGCTGAAATCAGGTTTTCCTTTTTCGCAGTCTTGGCCACATTTTTAATGTTTCCCAACAGTTTGTGCTCTGCAAGAAACTAGTGGAGAAAGAGACAGAACCCGTCGTGAGTATCAAATCGGCTCACTCTGAATTTATAGACCTGGCCGAGTAAATCTCAAATGCTTCACCGGCATTTTTACAGTTCTTTACTTTAATCTTTGCAGTTCTCGTTATTTGTCTCTGATCAATCTGATGCTGGCACTATAAAACGTCTGTTAAGATGAGACAATAGAGTCGTCTCAGAGACAATCTTAACTACAGACAACAGCAACTGTTTACCGTGTTTTTACAGAAACGTTCTGCGTGCGTTAGTCTACTTATGTATTAAAATAAATGCCGTCTGTGGTTCTGGTTGTATTTGTAAGTGACACGATCTCACGGAAGTCACGGAAAAGCATGCCGCAATGACCAGTCCGCAACGTTAGTCAGCCTGTGCAACACATCGCACAGCAACAACAACTGAGGAACAGGACGCCGGCAGCGCCAGCCACCCACCGAGTCAGCTGCGTTGTCTTGTAAGAATTTAATGAGATCTTTCTTGGGCAGGTCGTCACTTTTGAGCTGCTCGCTACTCCACTCTCTCCTCGGTTCCGCAGCCATCTTTCCTACCAGCAGCTAGCTGACCTCTCACCCGCGCTGTGGGAGGAGCCAGCAGCCGTGACCTCACGGGGGCTGGGCCAGATCGCTCGAGAGGGTCAGGGGCAGCTCGCAGGTTTAGCCCAGAGCTCGTAACGGTCCTGTCTCGGGCTCGATCCCTGCCACGCGTTCGGTTTGCAGCGCAAAGACCCGCGAGACAGAGCTGATCTCGTTCGAAGGACAGTTCCAATTATGAATCTGATCTTCTGCTAAGCAGAAACAGAAGGGCGCCCCGATTCGGAATATTGAGTTAATTGAGTTATTCGTACCAGTAATTTAAATGTAGGCCGACATTAATATATGTTGTAACGCGATGGGGTTCAGGTGGGGCGCCCTTGCCGCATTAGGTCGGCCCCCCACCGCCGGGGGCTCGAACCCGGGACTCCCTCTCTTTGGCTCACCGGGCTGGGTCCCTGTTGAGTGACGCGGGAGTCCCGGGTTCGAGCCCCCGACGGTGGGGGGCCGACCTAATGCGGAAGGGGGCGCCCCACCTGAACCCCGTTGCGTTACAATATATATTAATATCGGCCTACATTTAAATTGCGTTACAATATATATAATTGTGGCTTATACATAGCTATACATAGTATACAAAAAAATGATACATATATTGGATGCATAGTATATACCAGCTGAATGCTCGTGGTCATTTAATGTTAGTTAAAAAATAAATGTATGTACTGTATGAGAAAACACTTATATTTACTTACTGAGTAGTACTAGTACAGAGATACTCATTGGAGGCACGTAACTATGCGACACTCCATAGATTTCAATGCGCCGCGACTTGAGGAAACACGTGCCCTTGGATGCTGTTTGAATTGAATATCATCACAGCTGTTTTAATTTCCACTGGTTAATGATACAGAGACACTCAGACATTCAAGTAGGGAGCTGCGCCAGCACGCCCAGGCTGCAAAGGAACAACTGGAAGTTTATTCCATGCTGGAACAATTAAAGAGACAGCGTTTCGGCTGTGGGGTCTACTTCAGGTGTTTGACAAAGGAATAAACCTTTACTTGTTTCCTGACACTTAGACATAGTTAAGAGCACACATTAGTAATTAATTTCTGTGATAGGCTTGGGCTTGAAGTTAAACTTCAGGCACGTTCATATGCTTCATCTGTCGCTCTTCATCTCGGGAGGTTTTCCAATTCGTGCCTGGAGATCGTGGCCGTCCGGAGTAGCCGGGTTTTCTACAGTTTTCATGACTCCCAGATTAATCTACCGCCTCCTCGGCTGTGATCCAAGGGATCTTATTTTATATGTCTTTACATTTAACGCAATAAAATAACACATTTTATGTACCCCTGCCCTCTAAGAAACCCCAGCGTGCAGCTCCATCTCAGTAAATAGCGGAACAAAAACTCAAGCGATACCGAGATGTGACCGAACACGCGGAGGCGCGTCCCATTTAGTTATCTGCGTTTGCCAAAAGTTCGATTCACGTCCCTCCCCAGAATATTTATCTCGATCCATATATCTCAGAACTGTCTGTCGTACACTACAGACTCAACGTTTATTAGGAGCCGCAATACAGATGACGCCTTTCTTTATGATAAGATCCTAGGAAGTACAGTAGGTCCATTGTATTGTTAGAATAGTTTTAGTTGAATATTACAATAAATGGATTTTTGCCATCGTTACGTATTAACGATATCATTTCGGTAATAAGTTGTTACTGCTTTTAAACTTTTCTCACGCGATCCAGTGTTCCGCTTAGTACTGAAATAAGGTGCCTAGCCTGTAGCAAGGTTTGTAGTAACGTAGTCTCATACTTTATCCTCTAGAGGGCAGCAGCTGCTACGTCGGGTTCTTTGCAATTGAGAACTTTTTTAGTGCGGAGCTGGGGACTAACGATAGCAGCCAGGTCAATTTTAATTGGGATTCAGCCTGGATCGTAGCCGATTAATGCGCTGCTTTTCGAACGCTGCACTTGACCCGGACAGTCTTGAGCGCTGACGGATACAGATGGGTTTGCGTGTGAGAATAAATCAATTCCTGACTCGAGTCTCTCATACGCTTTTAGTCGCCCCATGTTATTGTTAATTAATTCCGTTGGCGTTTTTATCCAATAAAGGAGTTACTGAGAACAGTTGGACGCACTGGGTATTTGACTGAAGCAATCTCAGTGTAGCAGGTTGTTCTTGTTCTTGTAGTTCTTATGCAAAGGGATGTAGGAGTGTGGAACAAGCTACCCCCGCCCTGTTGTTGAAGCTGATGCCCGGGCTTCTTTCAAGAAACAGCTGGGTGAGATCCTGAGATCAACCCCCTGGTAACAACGGGCTGGATTGCCGTATTACCTTGTTCAATGCTGCAGCAGTTGTCGCACCCAAGATCTGATACCCAGAGCATCACAGTTCTGAGTCCTAAAAACTATTCCAGGCTGCTGTCTCAGGGCGCTTTTAATATCCGGTGAGAACTTTCAAGAGAGAAACTGACAATAAACCTCACCGTCTGGCCAGCACATTGAAGCGATTGTATTAAGACATTCGGGATGACCAATGTGAATACAGGGTGAATGTTGCATTAGCTCTTTCTCGTTTCTATCAATAACCTAGGTTCTGATATACTTAATAAACTAGTTACTTTTACAAATTATTTGATAAAAATAGGAGGATTACTCGACACTGTGGAAGCTGCAAATGCAATTAATAAAGATTAAGATTTAAAGACTGAAAAAAACAGTTTGACAGGGTATTGCATTCAGCAAAATCAGAAATAGAAAAAGGTGAAGAGTGAACGTGGAGATTTTTCCTATTAAAAGACGTAGGTGTTTATATCGACACATCGTTTTCATCTTCTCAGACTTAAAATGTGAAAATGTGAAAACGACGCACTAGTAATGCCCGATTTGGAATATTGTATTTCATGTGCCATAAATAAATACTGCTGCTCTGGAACAATTTAGAGAAGAGCAAACTGCTCCCCTGACACAGTGGAACCTCCTGCTCTTAAGGAACAAGAGATCTTTAGCCTTTTTAGTCTTGAACAGAGAAGAGTGGAAGGGCACCCGGTACACGTAGTTAGAATTACAACTTCAAAGGCATTGACAACTTTAACCGGATTTCTTCAGAATCAATAGCGAACCTTTGTGAAACCAGAGTACACAATCACTGGCTTCCTTCGAGAAACGACTGGATGAGAACCGTAGTACATATAGGTGACAGACGAGCAAGACGGGGCAAGTGTCCCCCCTCTTGTTTGCAAGCTTTGTTAAGGTCGTACATAACGTGGTAACACTAAAACAGAAACTAATACGATGTAGGCATGAGGAGAAACTTTCCGGAACTCCAGTTATCCCACAACCCCCTGCGCGAGAGACGGCACGCTCTCATTGGACGAAAACGGGAGGAATTCCACCAACCGGAATCGAGAAGCTCTGTGTGACCTTTAACCCACAGCAGTCACAGGCACACAGCGCCACTTTCAATAACGTGCAAGACTGGTTGGCTGCACCGGAGGGGTTTTCTAGCGTAAACGGAAAATAACAGCTAAGAATGTTTTTCTGTTAGTTGTCCTCTCGCGACAAGAAATCTTATTTTTCATATAAAAACAGTCTCGGTGCTCTCTTGGCGTTGACCCTGGTATTACGAGATATTAGTGGGTTTGCAGGCGAATGCAGTGTGGAGACCATGGTACCTATCAACAGTGCGCTACGGACGGAAAATAACATCTTGACACTGAAAACCTGTTTTGTTTCCTATATGTTCGTACGAATATGAAGGGACGGTGCTTTCTGACGTATCTATAGGCTGTAGGATAGAAAATAAAAATGTCTTAATCCCGCGGCGGTATAACTGGGTTATAATCGATGTAAAAATGAGTAGCGGGAAGCAGAGGACCTTGTTTCAGACTTGGGGTTCGACAGTTCAGCAAAACCCGGACCATCCGGATTTGACAGCCAGGGGGAAGCGGCCGAGTGGGCGTCGCAAGGCCGGCACGAGTAATGCGGCAGGGAAACTCAAGCCGAAGACCAGCCAGAACCCCCCGGCGCCCCGCGGGTCTCTGTGGGGGCAGATCGGCCAGGCAGCTCCTGCTGCGGGCTGCTGGAACGGGGACGAAGACGATGACGATCTGATGCTGGTGGCTGTTTATGAGGCCGAAAAAAGCTTGGAGAGCTTGCAGAGCGCCTCGGAGCGAGACGACGGCGGGGCCGAGCCCGGGATCACGGCCGGGTCTGAAGACCTTCCCGGGTTTGACCGCACGTCAGCGGACATATGGATTTACCCCACCAACTACCCCGTCAGGGAGTACCAGCTGAAGATCTCGGAAACGGCGCTCTCCCAGAACACGCTGGTGTGCTTACCGACTGGGCTCGGCAAGACGTTCATTGCCGCGGTGGTGATGTACAACTTCTACCGCTGGTACCCGTCCAGCAAAATTGTATTCATGGCCCCGACAAAGCCTTTGGTGGCCCAGCAGATCGAGGCGTGCTACAAGGTGATGGGCATCCCTCAGGACCACATGGCGGAGCTCACAGGTACAATGGCAGTGCACTGTTTCTCTTTACCGGTGCAGCTCGTCGGTCCCCTGGGCTCCTAGTGCTGTTTTTCAGTCGATCCTTGCGCATTCTCAATTACGCGGTCGAAACAGAGCCCCGAGTTGTGCGCAAATCCCAGTTTTTGACTGTGTTATATAATTCTTCTTCTCATATATATTGTTTTTCTGTATTGGATGCTAAATTAAATGGTTGAACTGTCGTAGAAAGTTTGACCTGTGATATTTCTTCCAAGGGTGAGCTACCAGAATGGACTGTTGTCAGTTTTGGAGAGCGGTGTTTTAGGGAGAAAGCTACCCCCGCGGAGACTGACTCGTGTGTTTAAACACCGACCACCCCTGCCTGTCCGCAGGAAGCACTCAGGCGCAGACCCGCAAGGAGATCTGGAGGTCCCGGCGGGTCTTCTTCCTGACGCCCCAGGTGATGGTGAACGACCTGTCCCGAGAGGCGTGCCCCGCCTCCCAGGTGAAGTGTGTGGTGATCGACGAGGCGCACAAGGCCCTGGGCAACCACGCCTACTGCCAGGTACCACCCCGCGGGGCTGCTGCCCGCACCGGCTCCCGGGCTCGTCGTGTGAGAGCGCGGGATTCGGCCTGAGGCGTTGGACAGCGTGTTTGTCTTCCGTGCAGGTGGTACGGGAGCTGTGGAACCACACGCAGCAGTTCCGGGTCCTGGCTCTGAGTGCCACTCCGGGCAGCGACGCCAGGGTGAGTGACGCCAGCGAGCAGAACTTTGTTCTTCTAAAATGCAAGGGCCAATTAACTGTGGTGCTGTTTTTTTGTGCATTTGTAATAGTTGAAATATAGAAGGAAAGCTCTTCTGGTATACTGCTACATACCGCTGCAACAGTTAATCTTCTAACGGTTAATAAAGATACTGGTGCTGTACCTTCCATCTGTTTTCTAACCGTTTCAATCAATTCAGGGTCGCAGGAGAGCCATAGCTTATCCTGGTATGCAGTTGGCACGAGGCAGGGTACACTCTGGACGGGATGCCAGTCTATCACAGGGCACAGACACACACACTCGCAACAGGGCCAGTTTTCCCAGAAGCCAGTTAACCTACCAGCATGTTTTTAGACTGTGAAAGGAAACTGGCTCGTATTCTGATGGCATTCCCACCCCCCCCAAAAATGGTCTCGTCTTTATGCAGGTCCGCCATAGAATCTATAGGGTGTGAATGCAAAGTGGGTACGAAAAATGTTATCCGTGCGGATTGGCAGGCGATTCAAATGTGTGTCCAAAATATCGGAACGGGTCTGGGGGATCGATAAGGTGGCAGCGTAGGCAGACGGCCTCAAGACAGCGCTGCAGTGTCGCATCTAAGGAGAGGTTTGCCGTGAGTATTGTTACAGGGCTGTGAACGTAACTGCAGGCCTTTGCCTTTGTCGCTTTGCTCAGGCGGTGCAGCAGGTGATCTCTAACCTCCTGATCTCGCACATCGAGCTGCGCTCGGAGGAGAGCCCCGACATCCAGCCCTATTCCCACCAGCGCAGCCTGGAGAAGGTGGTGGTGCCGCTGGGAGAGGAGCTTGCCCGGTACCAGGCCAGGTACCTCCTGGTAGGTGAACGACTCACTGCGGTTTTCCGGCTCGGAGGGTTGGTCTGGATGTTTGCGCTGCCAGAGGTCGGCCTTTTTTGTTTTGTTTTTTTAATTTTCAAACCGCTTTTGGCTGCTTGCTGCAGAAAGTTTTGAAAAACATTTTCTATCAGATGGACTTTTATGAGGCAAAGCAACCTGTGTGCTGTGTTTAAAGCACCCTCCCTTTCCCATGTGTTTTATTGAGACCCCTGCTGCTGTACGGGGGAGGGACTTGGGGACAAGGGTCACGCTCGGGAGGATGCTGTCACTGATCATAAGGCAGGTTACAAACGAGAGGGGGCCATTTAGCCTGTTTGGAAGTTGGCAAAACTACCCATTGACCCAAGGGCCTCAACCAGCTGTTTCTGGTTGTTGAAGCCTTGGCGTCAGCTTCAGCAATGTGACGGGGTCGCCTGTTCCACACTCCCACAACCCTCTCTGTATAGAACTGCTGTCTGTTCTCAGTTTTAAATGCGTTTCCCTGGACAGTAGCCACTTTTACTGGAGCTTGTCCCTCGCCCAAGGGCACAACAACAACGTCCTGCACAATATTTGTCCATAACCCTAACCAGTAGTTCACACTGCTGCATACAAGCTCTTTATCTCAGTGCAGGTTAATATATACTGCTCTCTTGGCAGAGAGGTGAGTCAATGGATACGTCTTTCAGCAGTTGGTCCTGCTGTGATTAGTGTTTAATTGTTTTTATTATCGGGCGTGCTGAAAAGAGAGAATTTTTCATAACTTAATGGTGTGTCACTGTGGATGAAAAACATTCTGATTGCATGCGGGCAGGACAGGCCCTTCACCCGTTTCTCTCAACATCGTTGCCAAAGAATGAAACGTTTTTTTTTTAATCTATGGGCCGAGGGAAAAAATGCTCCAGGGCATTTTGAATGTATTGGGCTTTATTTTCTTTCTGAAAGGAAGAGAAAATCGGTGTGATTGAATTCCTAGGTGTTGGGAGGAAGACGAGCATGCTGTGAAATGCGGACAGGGTGAGCAGGTGAGCGTTTTGAATAGTGGAAGGGGGATGCACTAACTCAGTGATTTACTTTCACTGTTCTGATTTATGGCTGCCGCCTTCTGGGACTGATGGGAAATTACAGGGCGATGTAATCCTCCTTGCATATTCCTCTTAACAGAGAGGGGATTTTCAGTTGAAATTAAATTGGCATTTGTGCTTGTTTTTTTTGGAGATTTCATAGGATCTTGTTATAAAAAGTGGGTCATGTAAAATCTAAGCATTTTGGAGTCTCTGCATTTGTCGGTCAAGTTTCGGTCACGCTGGTCTTGTTACTTCCAGGGTGAACAAGCAGTTTGGCCTTGTTCCGGGAACTTGTCCTCATTAGTTGTCCGACGGCTCTGTGTGTAGCCTAATCGGGCGCATGTTGTTTCAGAACTGATTTTGCAAGGATGTTCAGTGGGGCGCAGTCTCCTTTGTGCTCCTGCCCGCGTTGTCTTGGTTCATCTGCTGGAGCTGGCATTACGAGCGGCTGGTGAAATTGGGGGAAAAAATGAGTTTGGACCCATTAAAGTCTATGAGTCTGACAGAGCCAGCATGGGATAAGGGCTATAGTAAGGGGATTCATTAAGAGAGCAGTGGCAGACCATCGCGACATTTCTGCTGCTGTAACTTTGATTATTTAATACATGGCATGTGGGGCACTATAAAAGTGTAACGTCGCCAGCTGGATGACACAAGTGCCTCCTGCTGTGGTATTGTCTACGCTTAAGTACCATGGCAGTGTAAAAAAAGCCAGGAGCAGGTCGCAGGATCACACATCATCTTCTGAGCAGCCAAGCACAAATCTGTTGGAAAACGACATAATAGTTGTAATGCAGAAAGTTCCCCCCCCCGGGCGACGCGCCGGTTGGAGTATTTCTCGGTCGCATTTAATGGCAACATCAGCTCAAAGATTTGGTTCAAACCACCAAATGGAGACGCCGTTTTCGCCGACAAGCGGACCCCGCTGATGCGGGATTAACGCTAGGATGAGAGAGAGAAAGTTGTAATGCAGAAAGTTGTGAAAAAATAGGAACCATACAGTAGCTCTTTTCATACAGAAATTTGTCATTTCATGGAGCTCGGTGCTGTGGCCATAAACTCGTCACGTGCACTTTGGAGGAAAGTGCCCTGTTGATTGCTAGATAAACGGCCCGAAACTGTGCCTGTTCGTGGGTGTGACACACACGCATGGATCCGTCCTCCTGTAGGTCCGGAGATTCCACCCCGGCTTCTTCAGACACCCCTCAGTTGTGAATAACTCAGATTGCCGTTGCCATTTTTAAAATGGAGAATTATGTCTTCTGGCAAGTTAACCATATCATGAAACCTTCTGCACACAAACATCAGCATTGTATTCTGACATTTGAAAAATGCAGACCCTGGGAACGTCATGCATATTTGTCTGATTTTATAATCTAGTTTCTTTCTTTAGATATGTTGGGTATTGCAAGTCCTTTTCAATTTAGAAAGAGCATATACATGTATTGTTGCAAAATCTGTGGCCGACCGAACAGAATGCCGTCGGATTATTCAGCATCTAGTGCAGATAGCGTGCAGTGGAAGAGAGATGATGGTGTTATAGTTCTGCTTTCTTGAAGAAGGGAGCAGACAGGCTCAGCTTAAAGGCAGAGCATGAGCATGTAGCCCAGTCCTTCCCCCAGTCCAGACACTGATTATCCCATCCTGTTTCCTGGCTTGCCGTGAGGCACAGACAGTCATGCTGTATGCCTGTGGCACGCACAACGCTGTCTCAAAATACAGACTTTTCACATGCTGGAATAAAAATAGTTCTCAGTCCACAATCATGCTAGTGCCTGGAACTGTGGCTATCCCCCACAGCTCCTCTGAGGTACAGCTATAAAGAGATTGAAATTAGGGTGCAGGGTAAGTCTGGGTGTGTTTATACAGAACCCATCGGTTTTCAAAATCATCCTAATTTTAGTCGTCTGTATCTGTTGTACCTGGGCCATTAAATCAGATTTTGTTTCTTGACTCACTAGAATTACGTTTTGTAGACATTTTGAAATGCTGATTTTCTTCACGGTGATATGAAGGTTTTCTTAGTTGCTAATGGAGATGAAACATTATAGCTGAGTGACATTGTCATCTGTGGGGACTACTTTGTTTTTCTTCGTTCAAAAGACTTGACATACTCTGTGGGCTCCTCTGCACTGTTTTCTTTTGCTGTTTTTGACTTCATTTCGATTCGACCTCCTGATCATGTGCCTTTATAAAACTATTTATAAACTTAGTTCTCCATGAGACTTCAAACCCAGGCCCTGACGTCTTTGTTGTTAAAGATTCCATGGCACTGGAGCTAAGAGTTGGTGATGTTAATCTCAGAGTAGTGGCTAACTTCTTAAATCATGATCTCTTACTCTGCCTTGGGATATATTAAATCAGTGACTCCTCAGTCAATTAGTTATGAAGCAAATGTGTATGATCATTGCCATGATTAGTGAATTTTGCACGGACATCTGTACTGGCACAGGGTTACTGTGTCGCCTGCAATAATACCCCTGTCTTGTCCTGTCATTGTCAGTATTTACCTGTGGACAGTGGCACTGATTTTGGCAGTCTGCATTCTTACTCCAAAGCCCCCACATGTGCTGTTTAAATTTAACCCCTCTTTGTGAAGGAATTTCTGGTGAATTGCGCTCTTTAATACTCTGTTGTTATTTAATAACTCTTAGAAAGTCAGTTCCTGTTGTCTTACTAAAGCATGCCACCAACGAAATGTTGAATGAGGTTATACCCACTAGACATAGCTATATTATCAGTTTTATGATATAATTATAATATAATTTTATTAATGATAATAATATTGATAATATAGCAGTCACTTGCTGTCTAAATGCTTGTTCAAAATTCCTGTGCATCTTTTGAATTTTTACCTTTTAATGCTATAGGATCCTCCCAACAAAGAAGACTGGCAAGACAAAAGATAGTTTTTGAAAAGGATCATAGATTACATTTTATTTTTTAGAAAGAAAAATATACCAAAGAATCCACAGTAGCTCTTTTCACTTCAACAAAACAGCTCATAAAGCACAATTACAAAAGGCTTACAAAAGTGTGGAACATGAAATAAAAGATCAACTGGAGTTTCTCAAATATCCGGTCTCCCTCAGATGTTTAGCACACCTGTACTGGTCACTGACATTTTCCTGTCTCTCCTGGGACTAATTAGGCTACAGAATCAACTGCTGGATCCCAGCATGGGCAGCCACAAGGAGTTTCGCTAGGATTGTTATATTTTTATTGCAGTTGCAGTGCCTACTTCATAGTTAATAATGGAGCATCTTAATCATCACCCAGGGACACCTTTTCTCTTTTAAATGTACATTTAGATCTATATCACCATCTTTTTTTCAAAAACTAATTTCATTATAAAAATAATTTGACCTCTGTCTTAAAACATGTATCACAACATTTTCCCCAATTCTTTTATTAACTTAAAACTTACAACCAATGTTGAAATTCTTTTTCCTCTTATGAATAAAAAATATAACCTTTTCTCTTGCAATCCTGCCATCTACTGAATATATCGACAGCAGTGCTAAGAAAGAAGATGTTATAAAAAATTAATGATACCATTTTTGTTATATAATGTGTATATGACTCTCAATACTCTAAACTTAAAGAACAGTAATATATATGTGCATATTTCTTTAATAACATTTCTCACTCTTCATCTAGTAGTAGTGGTTAGTAGTAGTACACGCTCACTTACACTGACACAAAGCAATGTCCAGGACAGCAAGGAGCCCAGAGAGGTATAGAGTTAACTGGAGAGTAATACGGCTTCAATAATGAGGAATGCATTTTCATCACATGAAGAACACAGGACAGTACGGGATGCAAATCATACTTGATTGTCATACTGCAAAAGCTTTCAGTGATTTGGAACATTTTCACTTTCCTGAAGATCGATACATTCAGTCTGTTGGCTTGATCATGAGTTCTGCCAAGCTGCACGATTTTCGCATGTCACGTTCGCCTGCGTGTTCTAGTACACTGAGTTACAGGAGGCGGTTTTTAAAGGCGGACAGTAAAGAACTGCTAGCTTCCTTATGTCAGAAGCAGATTAGTTGAATGATTCTATAAGTGACAGTCTCGCACCAAGAGTCAAGAACTCGTGTCCTTTCCATCTTTTTAAAGACCCACTTGAACAAATCTTGTTGATTTAGTGCTAATAAAATGCTACAGTTTCAAATACCAAAAAGATATAGCGGTATATCGATAGCGGTAGACTGAGTGTGCTAATGCGTAATTCTTAGATGTTGAGTAACCTCAGTGAAATCCACAATCCTTGCTTCCTCAGCACAGTTTGCAAAAAAAATGGGCCTTTTTTTTGCAAATTATGATGGAAAAGCTACTGGTTATGACTTGTGCATGGGTTCGGTACCTTTACCGCCTAAATAAGAACGGGAGCTTGAACCAGAGAGCCCCCTCCGCTCTCGGGGCTCTCTGTGTAGAAGCGGGACGCAGAGAGAGCGACAGTGGAAAGTCGGGGACACTGGGGGAGCAGGGGGGGGGCGCTGCTGGTCAGGGACGCTGAAGAAACCAGATCTCATTGTGCCGGTTGGCGGCGGCGGGGTTGGTGTAGCCGGCCACGATGAAGGTGTCCTGCAGGCGGATTTCTGGGCACTCCAGCACCTCTGCCAGCAAGCTGATCTCGTACAGAATGGAGTGCTCGTTGGTGGCCCCGCCGAAGGTCCTGAGAGAGAGAGAGGGGGAGGGAAAGACAAGACATGGGCTGTTTGTTAGTAAAAGTAAATCAAAATTGAATGCCTGGAGATTCTGTAGATTTTCGCCGCCAGCAGCCATATCACCCTGCAACTCGGAAATGACAACACACTGAAGCTGAGCAGTCCTCCTGGGTAAAAGGAAGGTTTCTGCTTGAAGGGGTGCTAGGGGGGGCCAGTAGGGGGCGCTCACCCTGCAGTCTGGGCTGGTCCTAATGCCCCAGTACAGTGACAGGGACACTATACTGTAAAAAAAGGCGGAGTCCTTTGGATGAGACGTAAAACCAAGATCCTGTCATTAAAAATTCCATGACGTTTCTCGAAAAAGAGTATTCTGGCTGCCGTTGCGTCATCCAGGTGGGGCTGCACATTGGTGGTGTAAGTGGGATTCCCTATTACCTGTAAAGCGCTTTGAATGGAGTGTCCTGAAAAGCGCTATATAAGTGTAACGAATTATTATTTTCGTAGTTTGAAATCAGTGTACCAGTAGCGAGACTAGTGGGTATTTATTTGTAGTTTTCAGTAACATTCTGAGAAGGGCAACAACTACTTTACACCAGACGAGCTTTAGCTACTGCATCTTATACGTGCCCTTTTGCTCTGCATCTCAGTGGTGCAATGGGCTTTCTCTATAGTTGCGTGCCCTGACGTTTCAACGGTTTAACGAAACGAAGCATAGCCGGCAAGTTCCTCTGCCGCCAGCGAGTCTTCACTGCTCGCGACGCTCACCTGGTGTAGATGATGGCGGCCGGCCACTCCTCGATCACAATGTCGGGGTCGTAAGGCTGAGGAGGGCGGGCTTGGTGCTGGGAGGGCAGGTAGTAGGCAACGGTGACCTCGCGGGACAGCACCGAGCGGGAGTTCTCCGTGCGCACCACCGTCACTATCGGGATGGTCAGTCCCAGGAAACCACCTGAACGGGACAGGAGATGCGTCTGTGGAGAGCTGCTCCGCTTAAAAGCGTCTTGCGTTCTTCAGAGCCCGTCTCTACCCTTCTCATGGTTACAGTGGAAATCAGACGTGCAAGTGCTCTGGGTGCTAGAGACGTCTTGTACAGTTTCAAGTCAATGGGAAGGGCTTCGGGTATCCTATAAACACAACTGTAGCCGAAAGCAGAGGACTTGGACGTTTTTGTGCGACGTCGCCTCTGTACCTTCTTACTGCCTTAATAGGTTCATATGTATCTAGCACTGTGATATTCAGCACCTTTCTTACTTGTCAGGGTCCCCAAATTCTTAAAAAATGACTCGAGTCTCGCATGTCAGTTTGGCCTTTTCAGAAGGGGAGGTATTAATGGCCTCAGTAATGGAAGGTCCTCCAGAATGCAAATGTTTGGTGTGGGGGGAGACCTGACGGGTATAGAAAGGTATTGAGGAATAGAGTATACTGACGGGTGGACAGGAGCCTGTAAGCAGCCGTGCCCTCTTCTGAGGCCAGGCGCGTCGGTCACAGTGCACTCGGCAGCAGGCCCGAGGGGTCACCTGTGGCGTTCTGCTGGCAGATGTATCTCATGAGCTTCATGAACCCGAGGCAGATGCTCTGCTCGTACTGCTCCTCCAGGACGGTGACGCACGCCCAGTGGGCCTTCTCGTAGTGCCTCTTCTCGTACAGCACGTCCCCGCACTGCGGAAAGGTTCACACAGGTCAGCGGCTCCCCGGGGGCACCTCCCACACCTCCCGAGCCTTTCCCGGCACACCCAGCCGTTTCTAAGAGAGCTTGTTTTAAATCCGTGAGGCCCCTGGAGAAGACTTGTACTTTTAAGGAGAAATACTTGACTTTGCACCCTTGACTTAGAATGGCGGTATGAAATGGGAGCTTGTTTCAGTGAACAGGGCTGGGTTGTTTTTTTTGTCCGATGCTGTAGTCTGGGACCTACCTGAAGCTCCTGATCCGCACTTTTTAAACATGATCTCTAGTGATTCCATGCCTCAGTGCACAGTATGGGATATTTCTATTGGAATTACTGTATTATAATGGAGAGTGGAGTGGATTTGCCAATGCTTTTAAACACAAGTTAAATGAACAGTTTTTGAATCCATTTCAATTATTGTCTCCTCACTAGAAGGGATGCTTATTAATTAGGTCAATAGGTCACTTATGTCCAAGAACTGTCTTCTGTCTGACTCAGTCTCTGAGGAAATGTGAAGGACTTCAGCTTATTACAGTATAAAACGGGAGAATGTCTGTCCACAAAGAGACCCATTAGTCTCGTGGGAGTTAGGAGGTGAGGTCATGGCAACCAAGGTCAAGAGAAAACCCTTCCAAGAGGAGCAGTTTCTACAGGTCAGCTCCCCGAGGAGCAGGGGAGATGGTCTCTTTCTCAGGTTTCCACCTGCTCCTGAGCCACCCCACCTTTAATGAGATCCCTTCCAGTGAGGTAAGCCTCTTACACCCTGGTATTTATACTAGTTTAAGGAGACTAGGGAGCTAATAGCCTTTGCTGTGGTTAAAATAAAAGGTCTGCTCCTTCCATGAATACATGTGAGGTTTCAAGTTTGTTCGTTGGAGAGGATCAGCCACTCTGTGCTGAAGGGTCATGCCACATGCCTCCAACATTGGCCTAATATTGGCTTAAAATGCTCTTATCCAGTCAACCCAGATGTGTTCCACATGTTTCTTCTTAAGCAAAAAAAAATGATCAAACACAAAACGACTGCTTTAACAATCAGCCAACCTCCCAGCAGTCCCCGTGACAGGCCGCATCTCATTTATCCCTTAGTCAGCTGCTAATGTGCATTGAGACTGCAGACCTTCAGCTATAGGCTGACTTTTCAAGTCGGTGACCTAAAGTCCAGTTCCCCTTTGAGAAGCTTCGTGCCATATGTTCTCTTTAAAACGCTGGATTGAAAATGTTTTTTCTGATGCTGTATCTGTTGGGCACTTGAATCGGTTTAGGAGTTTCCTGGCTGTTGGCAGGTTTGCTCATTTTCACGCTTGCCTGGCACAGCTGTCCTGTAGTTTGGGATCGTTGTATTTCCATCATTAGAGACAGACTGCTGGCAAGTAACTGCACGCCACTAAACTGTGTGCAGTCAATATTCTCACTCTCTGACCACAGCACATGAACAAGAGAAGGGCAAAAGGAATTCAGCTGTGGTTTAATAAAATATGATGACTAGTAGTACTCTTTTATACTCACGTGCATGGAGACAGTTTTGTTTTCATCACTGGCTTTTTTTCCTTCAAAAATTAAGACATTTTTGGGTTTTACAGATTTATGGACCTGGTTGAAGTTGGACTTTTTTCTATATGCAGTCTATAAATGTTTGGACCCTGTTTATTATGCATTTATAGAAGTATAACCTCTCAAACACATCTGGCTTATAACAAAGTAATACCCGGCCTAAGAAGACCATGGTTACTGAGTCTGATGATCTCCGGCACTTGTATGTTTTTTGCGTCTCCAGTCTGTAAGTCACAGACTCACCTTTTCCTTGCGAGTGATGAGAGTGAAGGGCACACTCTCGCGGTCCTGTGTGCCCTGGTTGTTGCTGGTCAGCTGCTGGATAGGAACGGCCATATCTGAGGAGAAGCAGGAGTTGTGTTGAGGGATGGGTGCTCAGGAAGCACTGGTGTAGAAATCTCACTGCAATACAGTCCAGATCTCTCCGTCTCGAGTGAGAGAGACGGCATTCTTACAGATCACTGTCACTACAGAGGACAGAATCCCAGATTTCTGGAGTATAAGTTTAGACTTCAGGTTTTTCCAAAGCTTTTGATGTATTTATGCCGCGTGTAATGAAGAAAATCTATTGCTTATGTGGCCTGTATCGCACAACATGCTTTCTCAAAGTGATCCGCTAAAGTGCATAAATCAGGCTTTTGTCCTATTTATATTCTTAATGGAGAGAAATAAAAAGCAATGAGAAAATAAGATTCTAACTGGCTTCCTTAAAAAAGCATTTATTTTCCTAATGAAACGGGGACTGTGGGATTTTATATCTTGGTCTCGGTACTGACGGATCATTCTAGGCTTTTTTTAAAACTCGAACCGACACGCCCTTGACAATTTATTTGGGAACCGTTTAGGAAGGCTAGATATTTTAAAGAGGAAGTACATGTGTTGGGATTTTCTGGTTCACTGGACAGCTGACTTTTCGGCTGTGTGTGTGTGTGTGTGTCCGAGTCAGCTGATGGACTTTCTGTTGCCCCTGCTTGTGGGACCCTGCCTTTCCAGCATACAACATGATATTTTAATTTTGTGTGTAATGAAGAACCCATTTCTAACAGGCCTATATAACAGTTCATGGCTGTTAAAAGTGATCCACTAAAGTGCAGTCAGAAGAGGGGATTTTTTGGCAGATTAAGCTTGTTCTATTAGAAGTCTCTGCTTTCTCTGTGTGTCCGTATTGCAGTGGTTTGATTAACCATCAACTACAGTATATTAAACCATTTCCTCTACTTCACAAGTGAACAATTTTGTTTTATGTTCAAGTGATAGTTTGCAGAGAAGTGTGTATTATGCATTAAAGAGTTGAATCTGTTAGACTGAAGGGCAGAATGACTCCTACGTATTTGGTACACGTGAGTTTTTATGAGTGGGGAAGCATCAGACATACGAACAGTATAATATTTAAGCACCTTGTCACCGTGATGGGCAGTGACCAGATGCTTAATATTTTTTTATAGTGTGTTTTGGCTGAGACAAATGCAGTAATAAAGACCTGGAACACACTTGTTTTAATGATGGATTAAGTAAATTGCATCAAAACAATTTAAACCTGGCCTGTAATGAAATCAAGGAGTTGCTACATCCATTGGGGGTGATGAATAATTGGGTTAGATGGACAGAAAGGCTCAACTTTTTTGTGATCGTATTTACTACACCACATGAGAAATTCTTCTTTGTTGTAAAAGGGGAGTTTGATGTGCTGCATCTAGGAAAAGAACCAGCAGGTAAAGGCACTTACAGCCAAGTACTCGCCGTGCTTTGGAGAGTGTAGGGCTCAAGACTTGTCGACAAACTCATGACTCTCTTGCATCTTACTGGGAGGGGGTTGAGAAGGCTGAATTTCGGTTATTTCAGGAAAGCATTTAATCGTGCAACCTTTTTGGCCCCTGGAGACGATTTACTAATCCTCTAAGCCACAAAGCCGAGCTCATCAGTGGCGCGGCTGCGCCTGGAGGCGTGGCAGCCAGGGGAGCCCACACGCTGGCAGGCTCTGCGGCTCCTGGAGCGACAGGTTCGTGTGCAGCAGCACCTCCTGCACCCCCCTGTCACCGGCGCTCGGAGCAGGAACGCCTGCTCTCTGACCGGCCTCAAAGAATGCGAACGATACCTTCTGTGTGCTTCGTGGAGTTGGGTGGATGTCCACCTGTCCTCTCAGGTTGGTTTTGGACAGTTGAATTTCTGAGGCACGCAGAACATTTCAAGCCATTACATTTTTAAGGGTTAGACAAGAGGGCCCAAGTCTTCTCCTTCCTTACACATGAACATTATATGAGTTAAAGAAATAGATAGTGATGCAGTAGTTAGTGTGAAGGGCTCTAGAATAGTTTCCACAGATTTGGGCACTGTCAAGACTCTTCTCTTCCAAACCCTACTTGCCCTTCCCCGTGGCAGCTCCTGGGAGGGCTGCTGTTTACTCCTGACTCTGGACATGGTGGATGTTATCGTAGAGACAGTACAGTTAAAATATGGAAAAAGGAGATCCCTGCTTTAACCACGTTGGTAGAGCCTGCCTGCCACTCAGTTCCCAAACATTCAAACGACCACGGTCTTGAGCCCGGCTGCACTGGTGAACTCAAAACCAGCAGAGGTACAAGAAACTTAAACCTACTTCAGACCTGTGCCTCACCGGCTTGGCAAGATGCTCCATAACTGCCGTCTTCTACAAGAGCTGTTGAGCCAGTGAGCCCTAAGCTTGGTGGGTATCTTTCCAGTTTCCCCTTAGTTTACTCACCCTGTTCAGTGGGTAGGGAGGGACTCTCACTTTGAATCCTTCCTAATTTTTAGTTTGAATTCCCCCCCACCACCCCATTTTGTGCGCATTTGGGTGGAAAAGACCCTCTCCTGTAGAGGGGATGGTAGACAAAACTAATCCCTTCATTAACATTTCCTTTTTTTAAAAACAATAAAGAAAGCAACAAGTGCTTTGGAATATCACTGTAAAAAGGAGCAGCAGGAATGTTTACGACCGGCTGTAGTGATTACTCCTGTACGGTGACGCTGCGAACCGCTGGACTCCGGGAACAGCTGGTGGGAATCTGGAGGACCTTCTCCAGCGGGGCAGCCTACACCGCCTCCCGCCAGCATTCCGTGTGCTGAGGAAGTGGGTCACATGGGCTGCTTTACTACTGCTGGCGGCAGGAGTGTTATTTATAACCCGACTCGCGGTTTGCAAGCTGCAGACTGCCACATACTGGCACAGAGAGCTGAAGTCACCTCTTTTTGGCCAAACCACAGCTCGTCTAACCTCTGTTCCTTGGCAAAACGACTCATCATAATGTCCAGGAGCGGAAAGTAGCTCTTGATTGGAACGGGGAGGCTGGTACGACCGGGACAGAGTTATCTTGTACTTCTGCTTGAGGGAAACCCAATAGCTCACCTCATCTTGCTGCCCTGGCCTGCGCGTCCGCCAGCGCAGACCTTCCCCTTCTGATCATGGGGCTGTCACCGATGTACCGGATCATTTTCAAGGGAAATAGTTCTTATCCATGAGTGAGACCGATCTCCGGGGGAATATTACGTGAAGGACACGTCTAGCCTGTGCCTCTAACCCCTATTTTTTCCTCTCATTGTAAAAATATGATGGTTATCTTCCCCCCCCCGATTCCACCTCTGAGTTTTAGATAATAGATCAATATGAAAGGCTCAAATTTCTTGTATATTTAATCCATGGCATTCCCACCAAAGGCAATGTGGCATATGCAAAGGCATCACTACATGTAGCGTATATTATAGCAGAAGGACATGTAACAGCTACTGTCCTAGCGTGCTATGCGCGTCTCTGCTTGCAGGGCTCTTCATTAATCTGTACAGCAATACTGGTGCTGCAGGGAATATTAAATCAAGAGTTCCTTCTGTATCACCGCAGAATGGTATGTTATCGATGTATACAATTGCCAGGACTCATATAGTTTAATATATAAGGCAACAAATGTTTCTTGAAATTAAAGGGTCTTTCCTCCTGTGCTGCTGATGTTGTTGTTTCACACTAAATTGTCCAAAGTAACGCGATTAGAAAATGATGTTTCTGCAGACAATAGTCAGTTTCAGCCAGTCTGGCTTGTGGGACTTTTCTCCCCCCCCACTTCTCCTTAAACCACAAAGAAATCATTGTATTTCATGACGGCTCGAGGATTTCCATTTATTTGCTCTTGAATGTTAAAAATAGAGGGCTGCACTTTAAATGTCTACACCCGAAACCTCATCTGTAGATGAAGTGCCTCCTGGGTCATGCTGTACATGGGACATGGGATTATGCTCCATGAAGGCTCGGGATTGCTAGGACACGGACACGTCCACTCCTCGCTGGTCTCTCCCTCTTGCGGGGCCTTCCTTTGGCATTTCTTTCCAAACTACATTAGCGGATCGACATAGTGGGAAGGAGGTGAGCCGTTTCCATTAGATCCTGTAAATATTCCGATGAGAACAGCACTCTCTGCGAGCTTGTCGCCGTGGTTACCTCTACCTTTTCCTCTTCCGTCCCCACCTAGTGATGGCAACTCAAAACGGTTAGGCGATTGTCAGAAACGAAGTACTGTTCAGATGGCTTTTTGTTCAAATGGAGTTTCGGATTCCTCCACAGACACAAACAAGCAGTTTGCGTTTCTTAGCCAGCTTGTTTCAAATCGTCAAGAGACCCAGTGGGTGCTGTAGAATTCGTCAAGATGATAGATAACTTTCAGAAGAGAAGGAATAAAGTTTTAGGAATTGTTTGGAAGGCAGTTCTGTTGCCCTTTTCGGGGACTGGATGGTATCTGACTTTTTTTTCCTCAGTACTTATTCCCTGACAAACAGTTGCAAGCACAGGTCACAGTGACTAAGCAGAGAACCTTGCGGTCTCACACGATGAAGTTCGGCACGCTCCTGGTTTTTACTGTGAGGATCCGTGCGGCCAGTCGGACACAAGCAGGAGAGGAAAGAGGGGCTGCTGTGTTTATAGGGATTATATTAAGTGATGGTGTCCTCTCCTGACTCCCTTGGTTTAATTTAAGCCTCTTTACAGGGCACCTTCTCGTAGAAAGCCATGTCTTTTGGCATCCAGTCCTGTACTTCTTCAACACACTAAAATGCATTGGGCTGTCTTTGCGACAGTGGATTAAACTCCTTAATTTCGGCACAATCAGTTCCTTACTGATCTTCGGGAGCACTGCAGTTTTAGGGTATGGAGATTCTATGTTTTGATCAATTTATTACTTTCTGCTCATGGCCCTTTATTGGCATTGAGATTTATTAATTATCGGTGTGCTTATGGGTGGTTCTTCTTCCCCATAAGGAATCCTAGAAAGCACTTGGGAATCATGAACAGTACTTAAGGAACAACGGTAGCACCATTTCCATTTATTATTTTTTAAAGTTGAAATTTCTGACCTAAATTCATGAAACCACTCAAGACTTGTGGACATATTGTTATGATGGTTATGAAGGGTCTTGGCTTTTCCCCGGTTCTCTACAGAGCTGCAGAATGGCTGGAGGTAGTTTGTGAGTAAACTTTATATATGCACTGTCAGCTCAGTGCTGACCATACTCATCCTTGTGTGGCTGAAATACTAACTGCAGAACAACTGGAAACTAGCACACTAACTGTCCCCGTGTTCTGCACTGAATGACATTGCAGGATGTCCTGATGGGTGCACGTTTCACAGAGTATTATTCTGCCTAGTAATTATTTTGCACCTTAATGGGGATAACAGGGCTTATATGTTCAAGGGATGAGATTTAACTCCTTTCCTGTACTATTCCTTTGGTCAAATATACGTGATGATGTTTAGTCTCTTGCTTATTTGCTGGTACATTTTCTTATAAGGGTGTGTTTGATTGCTAGCATTCAGCTCATAAATCCAGTACAATACATGATTTCTGACTTCCTTCAGAACACAAAGTTTTTAAGAGCGCTTTTTAAAAATGTGTTCGACACATACTGATAAAATTGCTTCAGTGCACGGGTCAATTGGCATTTAAATGACACATGAATTTGTTCTGTCCAGTTGACATCAAAATATGTCTTTGGAGGCTGAAAGCGTAAAGTCTCCTATCGCACGACTTAACCGCATTGCAAGATATTGCACTGAACAGGACCAGTGTCATGATGGAAGGATGCACATTTCTACACAACCTGTAGGTGAGGCGTTCGGGCTGAGATCGGTTCTCCCTGTCGGACGTGGGACAGTTCCCTCACTGTACAAAACTAGCCGAACAATAAACGCCGTGACTCGGAGAGAGCGCGATCCGGCTTTTCAGAAGGCCCTGCACAAAGCAGACCGAGCCAGCGAACGTGTGGGCCATCTGCTGGGGCACGGATGGCCCTCCGTGTGCGTGACCGCCACAGTCCTGCGCGGCGCTCCTCCACAGTCTAACGCCGCGCAACACGACCGGGATCTAAACCACGGGCAATTATGGTTTTGCCTTGGTTTTTCCTAAACCAAATCTCAGCCCCTTTTCTCTTAATTTTAGTTCTCGTGAACGATACCGAGCTTCAAAGCCTATAGCAAGGTGTTTGTTAAAGTGAAGTAAAGATGTCCCGTCGCATACATATCACAGTTCTCCTAACCAGTTTTATTGTCGTCCCACAGCAATCCAAATTCTCAGCGTTGTCACAAGGGCTCAGGTTATCGGCAGCGCCTTGACCAGAAGCTACACGAAGGATGTTCACTTTAGTACGACAGGAATATTCGTACAGAAATAGGTTTGGTCAACTGTTTCGTTTCTAACCAGTCCTGCACTGATTGTTTTTCCCCCCGTCTAAAACAATTATACACCCCACACTACAGAAGCAGGATATTAATCTACTGGAGCAGATGTACAGTGGGTCTTAGTACGTAAAACTACGCGCTTTTTAGTCAAGTGATAATACTGCTGTTACTTTTATCACACAAAAAGCCAACAAATCGACTGCATTTTAGAAATATCGGACATGGCTGAAAAAGTTTGTTGACAAACAAGCGGGACTGTGGTTCTGTATACCAGGAAACGCACGAATCCGCTGTCCGCTTTTAACCGACACCGCTCGGGTTGTGAGGAACAGGTATTTCTCGCTCTCGGGCGCACATGACCGGGTGTCAGGGAGTTTCCCCGGGGGACACCGCGCTTACCCCTGGGCACGTCCACTTGATGTCCTCTGCCAACGTCCTGCCAGTACTGCAGGAGCCTGTCCTGCTCCTCCTCCATGGACTCGCCTTCCTCCTCCAGGCTGCCGTTGCTGTTGTACGCCGAGTCCGCGGGCTGCTCTTCGGAAAAGGTCTCCAGATCCTCCAGGGTGATCATCCCGAGCCGGGATCCCGCTGCCGACCCGCCTCCTCCTCCGACTTCGCCGCCACCGACACCCCCGCCGTTCAAACGGCAGCCCCCGCTATCCATGCTGGTGTTTTCGCTAGAAACCAATTTCTGTGCGGTTTAGACGCGGGGCTCGCAAGGTAGAGACCAGCGGGCTGCCAGGCTGCGTTCAGATGGCAGGACCGAAGGTGACGGCAACTTCTCTCGCACTTTTTGTCCCCCTTCGACCAGGAAGGCGGTTGGCCAGCCCGCTGAACCGAGCGTGAAGGGAAGTTGAGGCTCTTTGGTTGGCTTATCGCTTTACCTTAGAGCACTCGTTGTTGCATCGCGCGTTGTCGCTCGCTTTATTTTGTGCACGGCTACAGTTGCTCAGTAGAAAAGGAGGAAAAGTACCAGCCCCGTGCCGACCGCTACCCTCCGCCCTCCGCCCTCCTCTCCAACCCAACTGTCAGGAGTGAATTCCTGCTTGCCGGCTCGCCAGCTTCATGTTTATAAGGCGCTGTGGGCGGTCACGTGGGGCAGCCCCCACCCCCCCGTAAAAACGCAGCGTATTCAACCAGACGGGGAGAGAGCAGGGGGTGTTTGCTCATGGTTTTTTTAGTATAACTGGGATTAGTCTCATTTTGTAAAAAAAAAAAAGTTGTACGCGTTTTTTGTTGCATGATTTTTTTTTATTGCCGATTTTGTTGCTGCCTCTAAATGGGGAAGAAAAAAACAGACACTACAAATCCGGTTTAATCAGTTGCTGGTGCGGATTGGCAGGAAAGGAAGGAGGAAGAGCGTTCATGAAAGGCTGTCAAACTGAGGCAGTTGTCGAGAAGAATCGATCTACAATTGCATTCGATGATTGTGCACTTTATTCATGGCGCACGCATGTTTATTTTCTTACAGGGCGGTTAACGCCTCTTGTTTTGTTGTTGTTGTTGTTTTTTCTTAACGCGAGAAACTCCGGCACTCGCTCGCGCACCCAGCAGAGAAGAGCCGCAGCTCGCAGCGCGCGGCGCTCGGACCGCTCTCGTTCTCGCGGCGCGGCTGCCATCTGCAGGACGCGCGCCGAGCTCGCACGCGGACACCTGTCGGCCTCCCGCCGGCGGCGGCGGCGTCAAATAAACCCCAAATCTCACAGCGACTCTTCCCTGATCGTCTCATTGTCTCCCTTAAGGCACCGCAACATGTTTATTTTCCTTCTCAAGTTGAAAGTCCAAAGGGAGAAGGTTATGGAAGTGTAGATATTTCTTTTGAATGGTACCTCTGGTGTGTTCAATGGGATGCGGTTTTTATGGTTTCCCCTACAACAGGGTATGAGGAAACATGGCCGGTACCTTAAAATACACAGAAACAAACTCTGGATATTCTGGACTCAAGAAGAGCTCCGTCTCGCCTGTACTAGTGAAAGTATTAACGGAAAGAAATAGAAAGCACAACGTTCAGGCTGCAGAACCTACAGTTGTGAAGGCTGAAGAAGGCTCTGCAGCCAAAATGCTGTTTCTTCTTTCTGTTTTTCGGCGCCCACTGATTCAGCTTCCCATCCGAACCCCTGTCCTAATCTGGGGGGGTTTCACTGCCCAGAGCGCAGTCGGTATTGCGTTGAGGGTGTATGCAACTGGTCCATGTTGACTGAATCGGCAGTAGCAGCGCTTCTGTTTGCAAAACCTGACCTAATTATAGGTCAGTTAGAGCCAACTAAGAGTCGGTATTGTTGGAAAACCTTTTGTTATGTCAGTGTCCTCTTATATGATGACACCGGCGATGCTCATCAGATCAGCCAGGGCTCAAGGCTCTTTCTTTTGTCTTTCTTTCATTCTATTCTGCTTGCCTTTTACCTGGCCTAATTATATGATTTTTTTCATAATATTATTTCATTCCTGGGATGCAAAATTGATTTTTGTTTTTCCTCCCTCGGTCTATTCTCACGATGCTGCTCGGAGAAGTGTAGTGTATCCCAGCGGCATCTTTGCTCACTGGTGCTAGTGCTGTCTTCATCTTGTGTGCAGTGCTCCGTAATTGGTCATTAGAATGCCTAAGAAAACAATATTTAAGTGAGGTTTCGGATGCAGTTATTGAAATGCACGGATAAAGGTCAAGACAAGGGAAAGGACAGATGCATCCCATGTAATTTAGGTTTTAACAGGCCGGAGCAAAAGGCTCATAGGCAATTGGAAACAGGAAGAGTTCACTTTGAAGGGTTGTCAAAGCCTGGGAAATAGGGATGCAGAGACAAGCTAGACGTGTAGCCTTCCTTTCCGAGCACAGCGACGAAGCTCACCTGCCTGTGAATGACAGTCACATACTGTGTAAGCACACTACTGTATTTGTAAGCTTCTTTCTATACGGTCTACATGATGTGATTGGAAATTCTTTCGAGGGACTGAAGAGGAGACAGAGCTCGTCTCTCTTATAAGTTCTGTTTCAATAAACCATATTTTTCGAATTATTTCTCCACAATGCTTCTCTTAAGTGGACAATACACCTTCCTTTACTGGTTTTCAATATTTACATTCACATTTTACTTTTGCCTTTCAATGTTCATTTTTTAATGAATGCAAGGGCATAGCATGGTTGCTTGCTGGTTAGCGCAGCTGCCTCTCAACTCCAGGGTCCCGGGTTCGAGTGCAGACCTGGGTACCTTTCTGTGTGCACATTTCTGTCAGTTTTATCCACTTACTCCAGGGTCCTCCCAAAGACAAGCTGGTTATGGAATTAATTGAATTGAATTAGCCTTTATTGCATCTAAGAGATTTGTTCTTGCACATCAAGAGCTTGGTTAGTGGGTTATTCTGAATTGTTAATTCTAAATAACCCATAACAGTCTGTTCTTGAATAACCGAATAAGGTGTGTTCCATGGGAACTGCAGCTGGGTACCCCAAATTATTGATCCCCCCCCCCCATCAGAAGTGGCTCTGCTGCCAAATAACCCCAAGTATCAAGTTTTTCAAGAATGGAAGAAAAAGATTAAATGTATGTTTCTCTTTTGAATGGCCTATTCACTGTGGCCAAGCGCAGTGTAACATCTGTTTTATTTAATAGCTTTCTGGAAGAAGGATTAAGTTTGTTAGTTCCCACTCAGTTCATTAATTGCCAGTCTGAATGTTCTTCACAAAGACTGGAGTCCGTAAGATGTATAGTTTATCCTTTTACTTTTTTTTAAAGCCTCCTATTGACATTCAGAGTGAGAAGAGTCTCGTTATGATCAGAGAAGGGGAGAAAAGGTGTGATATCTGTTCCCAGTGTACAAATGTGATCAATACAGTAATGAGAACAGGCTTTGATTCAAGCACTTGTCACCTCCCGGTGGCAGATACGACTCTTGCTTTTGGACCCAAATGACTAAAGTCAGAAGCACACAGATGGTGTTTCCCTGAGCTGTTTACCAAATTCTTTTTACCATTTTACACAGCTATGGAGAAGCAGGTTGGGACCATCACTGACTTCTGTAACACTGGAGGTGTGTGGGGGGTGTCATATCGGTCAGCCGCAGTGTATGATTCTGGAATGTGGTTCCATCCCCTTCCTGTGGAATGTGGAATTGTGGGCTGCCTGGCCCTCCATACGGTGCTAAAGGAAAGGTTTCAGATATAGTCTTCATCAGTCTTTTATTCATCTTTTTTTTCCCCTGGGGTGTCCTGGGGTCTTGTAAAGATTAATCATCATAGTCAGCATGGTATAGTTTGTGATGATCTGACTTGTTTTAAGGGAGCAATAAAGCAAAGCCAAAGTCATATAACAGCCATTTTATTTTAACACTCTTTTTTTTTTTTATTAAAGGTCCCACGGATCTGTTACGAAAAAAAAATGATCTTAACGATGGACAAGCAAAAAGCTTAAAAATCCAAATGTAATTTTACATTACACAGACTTAATTCTATGTCCATGCTCGTGAAGGCTTGCAGACTTTTAACAAACATAAACTTCACGGAAGGCTATTTCTCTGTTTTTTTTTTTCTGGATTATTTAAGAATCTCTCTGGCCAAGAAACCATCTAGAAGTTTTGTTTCTTCATAAGAACATAATAAATGCTGCAGTCCAAAGATCTCACCCGGCTGTTTCCTGGATAAATCCAGGTTATCAGCTTTGACAACATGGCTGGGTAGCTTGTTCCATACTCCCACAGCCCTTTTCGTGAAGAAGAGCATCCTGCGCTGTCACTCGTGAACGTTTACCACAGAACTGCACCTTGGCTATTCCACGATTTGCTTCAGTGAAGTCTTATTAGGTTTGTGTTGATCGTGCAAGACAAGCAGCTAAAGTAATTTTTGTGTTGTATGTTAGTGACATAACCAATTTGCCTGTCATCCGAGCGTGGAGTTGCATTAAACATGTATAGTTTTAGCACCGCAGGCCTTAAACGGTGAGCCTGGTTTTGCTGTATGTGTCAGTAGAGATCCCGAGGCGATGTCATCTACTCCAAGCTGTCCCTGCTGTGCATGGTGTCCAGCTACTATGCAGCCCTTGCCTGTTGCTGTTGGTAGATCTTGTAATCCGCAGTCGTTTCTGTCATGGTGGTTAGATTCTGTTTCCTCTCTCGTTACCTCTCTGCTCCTGCAGCTGCGGAGGTCCTGCTTCGGCAAGCTCTCTCTCTGCGGCGGCCCGACTCCTGTCTGGGCACCCTCTGTTCTTCGTTTCGTAGTCTGTCCCTGCTCTTTGGCGTCTCAGCACGGTCTCATCTCACTCAGTCTGGTAGTTTCCACAGGCGAAATGAGAGGCGTGTTGGCAAGATGAGATCTTGCCCTCATCTTGGCCTTGTTTCATCACTCTCCCAGTAATGCTAATTGTAGCTGGATGCTAGGATTGACTGTCACCTGGTGGCTAACGTTTAAAGCACGGTTATTTGTTCTGTCAAGTTTCAACACATTTGTACTCCTTATCCAATGTGTTTAATAACCTTTTTAGTTTAGTGTTTCCTAAAAATATTTTAATTACTGTTTAAAATGCTGTTGGATGTCCAACCTCGACACACTGAAAGAAAGTAAGCTTGTCTGCACACGTGTATCGTGTCATTTATGAGATGGAAATGAATACTTATGATGATGAACTGACAGTCATGCAATTCTTTTCTTGTCTCCAAAATGTAAACTGATGTCTGAAGAAAGTGAAGGCTGACATGCCGTCCAGACAGCTGAATCCAAACACAACAGAAAGCGGGCTGGCAGAGGGTAGAGTCAAAATTAAAGAGTGGTGATGAGAGTGTTGGGAAAACACCTACAGATATTCAGCTGCAAGATACATGCCACACAAAACGACTGCAGCTTCAGCTTTTTTTGTTAATAATAATGTTGTAAAAACACCACATGCAGAAATTCACAGAAATAAATCATTCTCACACTTTGTCGAGTCCTACAGTAATACGGCAGTGCAAATGACATAGCATTTAGGTTCTAAGAGAGGAAAGTGAGAATCAACTTAATTGAACTTCCTTGGTC